TACCGGAAGATTGGAACCAACCATAGATACCTTACAAAACAGCATTACTGAATTCGCTTATTCCTCAGGTGAAGATGTCATTTTTGACGCTTGGTACAGAAGATACCAAGATGTTTTTGGGGAGGACGCGGTTAAACTTGAGGATGGGGCGAAAATAAGGTTGCTGTTAAGAAGACTAAGCACGCAAGTACACACCAAGTATGTGAACTCTATACTTCCAAGAATTCCTGGAGATGTCACGCTTTCAAAAACTTTGAAAATTTTGACGGACATGTTTGGTCCACAAACTTCTTTATTCGCCACGCGTTACAAGTGCTTGAAAATGTACAAACAAGCAAATGATGACTACGTGGCATACGGCGGAAAAGTAAATTTGGAGTGCGAAAGATTTAAGCTAGGGGAGCTCACAAATGATCAGTTTAAATGCTTGGTATATGTGCGCGGGCTGCAGTCGCCAGATGATACAGCGATAAGACTGAAGCTGTTAAACAAAATTGAGAAAGAACCAAGCACTACTCTGCAAGAATTGATTGAAGAGTGTAAAAGGCTTGTAAGTTTGGTTGAGGATACCAAGTTAGCTGAACAAGACTCAGCCAAAATGGTGAGTGTTATAAAGAATCAACCTAAACATACTAGCTTCGGTGAGGTGAAGGAGAGTCGGAGTCGAGCTCCGAGAAGATATCTAAATGAGGAAAGTGGTCAGCTTACTCCAAAATATCCATGCTGGTTATGTGGACAAGTACGTTTTGTCCGAGATTACCACTTCCGAAGGCACAGACGCCGAGACTGTAAGCAGTGGAGTCATAAAGAAGGCTTCTGTTCGGTGGCAAGTAAAAATTCAAAACGATATAAAGCTCAGAAGAAGAAGCCCCCCGGAGTTAGAATAGTGTCTGCAGAGAGCCTGGAAAAGTTTAAAAGGTATGCTGAGGTAAAAATCAATAACAAGGGGGACGGTATTCCAAATTGATACAGCCTCAGACATAACCATCATTACGCACAGATCGTGGGTGCACATCGGATCACCACCTTTGCGACCGACACCCTTGACAGCATTGAGTGCGTCAGGCCAGCCGCTTCAGTTTGAAGGCGTGTTTGGTTGCACGTACAGTTTTCAAGGCGCAGCCGTAAAAGGTCAATGTTATGTCTCTGGCGACATAGACTTACTCGGTGTAGAACAAATCACTGCACTGGGAATCTCTCCC